GAAATGTACCCATTTAAAAAAGTACTTTTAACATCCATTTGATATAATTTAAAATCTTTAAAATACGCAAAAGCAAGTAACATTCTAATAGCCTCAAGTCTGGTAACTGGTGCAAAAGTTTCATCAAAATCAATTCCTTCTTCTTGATTATAGCCTTGAGCTACTAATCTAGCTTTATTTCTAGTAACAACTCTAGATTCGTCCATTTTATTTCGAAAAACCCATTTTGTACCAATAACGGGATGATCCTTAGGTCGAGGGGTCAAAAACCAAACTTCATTTCTTTCAAATTGATTTAATTCTTCTTGCATTGCTAAAATCCAGTTTTCATCATTTTCAGCTTCTAAAAATGATTTTGGTTCAATTTGTGTAACAAATGCTAAGTTATCACAAATATTTCTAGCAGATGAACAAGTTTTTATGCCTTCCGCCGCATCACCTATGATGAGGTCTTTGGGGTGGCCATGAGCATACTTCCATTCTTTTGGTAAATTTGAGTCATTTTCTGGAAGAGCATATATTTCTTGAAGTTTCTCCATTGTCATTTCTTCGTCATGTTCGCGTAATGGATTTTCTTCATTTTCCTTTTTATAAATGCTCTCCATGCTTGGTTGATTTTCTACAATATCATTACTTAAAAGATTCTTGGAAATAATATCGTTAGATTCATCAAAAACAACATGCACAGATTCTTCAACAAGTAGAGTTCTTTTATTAAATACTCTATAAGCTTTACTAGACATAGAATAACCAAGAAATATAGCTTCATCCGATTTAGCATCAAATTTTCCTAAATTATCTTTATTGTTATTTAATACAAAGCATTTACAACCAAAAGCACGCAAGTGACTAATATTAGGTTTTCTACCTTTCCAAAGTTCATAAGGAGTTTTCTTAAGAATAGGTCTAATCATGGCACGATTTATAACATAGCATGCAGTGTTTACAGCTTCCGCCCAAAAATATTTAGACAAATTATTTTCACAAAGCATAGTACGGGCCATTTCTTTAAGAGTTCTATTTTTTCTTTCAACCATACCGTTTTGTTGAGGAGTCCTAAGGGTTGAGAAATTATGATCTATTCCTAAGTCATCACAAAACATAATAAAATCCTCATTTTCAAATTCTCTACTATGGTCACTTCTAATACTATAAATATTAAGATTTTTCTCATTTTGCATTCTTTTACAAAGTTTTGAAAAATTATAAAAGCTTCATTTTTGTGTACTAAAAATAATACCTATGTATATCTAGTATAATCATCAACACAGACAAGGGTATAAGATTTTCCTCATAAACTTAATGATCTAGATGGTCCGAATAGATCAATATGCAAGAGTTGAAGCGGTCTAGTAGTTGAAACGATATTTTTAGATTTAAAAGAAATTCTAGTTTGTTTTCCAAATTGACATGCATCACAAAGTTTATCTTTTTCAAAAATAATTTTTGGTAAACCTATGACTAACTCATTTTTTGAAAGTTTAGAAATTAAATCAAAATGAGCATGTCCTAATCTTCTATGCCAAAGCCAACCAGTATCATTTATAGCAGATAAACATTTAATGTTAAAATGAGAAGATAAATCATGCAAATCAAGCACATATACATTCTTATGTCTATAACCTATAAATAAAGTTTTGTTTTCTAGGGTGTTTTCAATAGTACAATGAGTTTTTTCAAAAATAACTCTATAACTTTTATCACATAATTGACTAATACTAAGCAAGTTATGTTTTAAACCTTCAACAAATAAAACATTTTCAATAATAGGAGAGGGGTTTTTACCAATACTTCCTACACCAATGATTTTACCCTTGCTATTGTCGCCAAAAGTCACATATCCGCCATCTTTTGGTTGGAATATGGCGAACATAGCTTTATTTCCAGTCATATGCCTCGAACATGCACTGTCGAGATACCATCTATCGTTATTGGATTTTGTCTTGAAACATACCTACAAAAATTTAATTTCTCTATTGGTACCCATTTTTTCTTGGGTCCATAAAAGTTAGAATTTGGCACTCTTGAGATATCTTTAAGGACCCACATCTTTTTTATTTTAGCAAAAGGATTTCTTTTAATAGGACATGAAGGTGAAATATGACATTTTGTTCCACAAAAATGACATATGAGATGAGAGTGATTAGAAGATGCATACACAAAATCATTTTTGACATTTTTTACTTTTGAAAAAGGTTTATATATAATTCCGGCTCTACCAAAAGTACGGTTTTGATTTTTAAGGATTTTATCTAAAGTCTCTCTACCTTGGGTGAATTTTGAAAGAGTAGTTTTCAAGTCTTCAATATTTTCTTTTAAAATAATTTGCTCATTTTTTAAAGACTCGTTTTCTTTTTGCAATACAACTAAATGTTTTTCAGAAATTGAAGACTCTTTTCGAGTTAAGATCTCATTTTCCTTTTTCATGGCTTCATTTTCTAAAACATTTATCTTGGAAGTCAATGATTCATTTTCTTTTGATAAACTTGAAATTACTTTCTTTTGACAATTATTTTTCAAACTAAGTTTTTTAAATTCAGCATGTAATTCATCAAAAACTAATTGTAATTCATCAAATGTAAATGATTCGTTATTTACCTCATTTTCGTTTTCAAGTGCCATTAAGCATAGGTTAGCAACCTCATTTTTGCAAACTTCGGTTTCTGTGTCGCTTTCATCACTATCTTCTCCCCATGCTGCAACCATAGCTTTCTTCTTGTCCTTTTTGAATTTTTTCTTAAGTTTTAGACATTCTGATTTATAGTGTCCAGGTTTGTTGCATTCGTAGCAGGTTACTTCAGATTTTTTGTGATTTTCTCCTCGTTGAAAATCCCTATTATTGAAGTCTTTTCTGAAAAAATTTCGTACGCCTTGTTTCTTTCTCACAAACCTTTGGAACTTTCTAGTGATGAATGTCATTTCCTCATCCTCATCTGAATCATCTTCCTTATCCTCTTGATGTTTCGAGGTGGATTCGAAAGCTATTCCTTTCTTCTTGTTGTTTTCCTCCTCTTCCTTTCCTTCTTGCATTATGAGCTCATGAGTTAAGAGAGATCCCATTAACTCATCTAGACTTCGTTTTGATAAATCCTTAGCTTCGGTAATGGCAATGACTTTTGTCTCCCAACTTTTTGGCAATGACCTAAGCACTTTTCTTACAATTTCAGCATTAGTATATATTTTCCAAGAGAAGTTAAACTATTAATAATATCAGTAAAGCGAGTAAACATTTGAGGAATAGTCTCACCAGGCTTCGTTTTAAAGAGTTCATAATTATGGACTAGTAAACTGACTCTAGATTCTTTAACTTGTTCGGTTCCCTCATGAGTCACTATAAGCTTGTCCCAAATTTCTTTTGCGGTTTTACATGTCATGCTATCAAGTAAACACAATTATTATGCAAACCCACTGCACATGAGATAGTTGTACAAATCTTAGCAACACACACTTGGTTTAAGATTTTTTCATTCTTGTGAGATTGAGTCCCCAAAAATATATTATTTTGTCTTCTCAAATCCCCAAATCATAAACCCTAAAATTTTGAAATTTCTTATTTACATTTATCAAATCTGATTACATTTCTTTGATTAATGTGAATATTCAAGAAAAAAGCAGAAGAAGAGTTGAGAACGAAGAACATACCGACATTGTGGTTCTTCGTCGCTCGTCTTTTCTTCCGCTGTTGCTCGACGCCAATTGGTCTCCTACAATCGCCAATCGCCGGATGTCTTCGTCACTGCGTCCGTTTTTCCCCCCCCCCCCCCCCCCCCCCTCCCCCCCTTTGCTTTTGTTTGCCTACTTTTTTTTTTTTTTTTTTTTTTTTTTTTCTGATCTCCCAATCCCCAACCCCCACGTGTGTGTGGGGTGGTGAGGGTGGGACTTTTGAGGGGGATGAATCATTGTTGATTTAAAAAATCTTTTAGTTTTTAAACCAATTTGGAGCAAGTAATAAAGGGGATGGATAAAACTTTCTGTCCCCCGACAACTAATTAAGTGGATCAGGTTAGTTTCATTCCACTCGTCTCGCAACTATTGCTGTTCTTATTCGTCTGGAACATCATGCCAGTTTGCTAAGTCGATGGTTGGAAACTACTTAATACAAGTGAGAGCATTCTTTGTAAATTAAAGTTGCCTTTTACTTCTGCTGAGAATCCTTTTTAAGAACTTAAAAAATCTAATGTTTATTTCAAACACCCTAAACCTTGTTTTGACAGAAACTTGCAAATCTTATTTTGGTTTTCCACCAAGTACTGAATGTCTGTTGCAGTTAAACAATAACATTTGGTCAATTTTGACAGAAACAAACAGCACTTCAAAATAATCATTTGCTACTTTGTGGAAAAATAATTCACTTCATTAGTACAACCAACTGATGAATGCAGCAGAACAAATGTACAACCACAAAGTGTGAATGAAATATTGCTGCCCTTGCTACATAATGAACTTTTTTTCTCCATAATCTAATAATTAACTATATTTACATTCAATATCAGTACCCTCATCACACCGTACATGGTGCTTCTACGATATTTCAATATACAAGAAACTGACATATAGTCTTGAAAATTTTTAAACCATTGAAGCTGGAATTCATGGGTAATAACTTGACCGCGTATGTAAATCACCTCCACTGGCAAATCATGACATGAACACAGAGTTGAAGCTTATATTAACACTGGACTTTCAATGGGTCAGCAAACCATCTCCCTTATCACAGCAGTTGCATATTGAAGTAAGAATAGTTTGAAGAGTTCCTGCACAATTGAAAAGATAAAAGAACAGGGCAAATATCAAGGCGGGATTGGCGCAACACACTAAGGTATCATCAATGTCCATTTACAAATTTATGATTTTTCATCATGTAAGGCTTGGAAGCCAATACTAAGATGCCATAGTTCAAAATAGGAGTTTGCATGCAGCCAAGGGTCGAAACATCCTTTCGCATTGTGTGTACCTTCTCAACTAGAGATGCCACAGTCAACTCTGGTTCTTTGCTTGAAAAGAATTCACTGCACCCCCAAATACATCATAAGAAGATGGATTGGGTCAAAGCAATCCAATCTTCTTTGGGTCAAATGTTCAATTTGTAAACTTGAGTTTTTGGGCCTCCGAACAGGGAACCATTGGTTTAGTGGTTAAACGCAACCAATTAACTTTGAGATTGTGAGTTCAAACCTGGGGTATCCACTTTGTATAATTATGTCAAAGTTTAGGTCTGTACCCAATTTACTCTTTCCAAACCCCGTTTAATGGAACTAAACTGGGTGCACATTTTAGTTTTTAAGCCTCTGATCCCACTGTCCAGCCAGGTTTATGGATTTACCAAAGAAAAAACAGAACCAAATTTAATTGGTTTTCGTTTGCTAGAACTTGTTCTTGTTTCTGTTTCAACATATAGCATGTGGACCTAAATGAGCTACATATTTTCCCTTTGAAGATGGGGGGAAAAAATCAACAAATAAGAGGAGAACTGAGGAGTTTTATGCAGCACTTTAGAGTGGCTGGGAATATATTACACATAGATAAATCTTGTAACTAAGATCAGAATAATCTCTAGATATTTACCATTCCAAATATTCCTTCAGGTAGCTGTCAGACAATTGCCAAAACATGAACACTGGGTTTGGATCATGAATTTGGATAGAGATTTGGAAAAAGAAAAAGAAATGGAGAAAAAATTTAGCTTATATCTCATTCACATTTCCTTGACTTTTTTTTCTTCTCCCCCTTTCCTTTTTCCAAATCCATATTCAAATCTATGATCCAAACACAGCGTAACTATCTGAACCTGGAAAAAAGAAAAGTAACTAATTACCAAACAAAATGCCACATTTCTTATATAGTCAACAAGTGTATTTTCCTTTGCTATTATGGTAGTAGGATTGATTAGAAGAATGAAGATTTAACTTGAGGACAGTTCCAAGATCGATCTTGTTAGCAATTGATACTTTGAACAGCGTAATCTGCAGCATCGATGGAGAGGTCAGATGTACAGAGAGTCATATATGAATTTTCTTAAATTGAATTAGTATTGAATTGTTAGAATTTCCCATCTTTACCTTCACCTACTCCACTACACACTCCACTTCACCTACCTCCACTTCACCACACACTCCACTTCACCTAACCCACTATCACCTCCACTACACCTACTACCACATTTTCTTCTATATATAGATTGTATAGGAATTGTAATACAACAATCTTGTAACACATCAATCAATCAATAACACATCAAAGTTTTAACATGTATATTTCTGGTAATTTTTTAATTCAATAGATTTGTAGAAGAGTTGTAATTGTTTTAGTTGCATGATTCTGTTGCTGTCACGTTTCTACACTCCATCAATTTTTAAGATTGTGATTGGATTATGAATTTAGGTATAAATTTAAAAAGAAGAAGAGAAAACGTGAGTTAATGATGCAAATACAGCATAATTGTAAATCAATTGTGACAATGGTTGCTCCAAATTTTGAGAATTTCACACATAACACATATATAGCATCCCCAAAATTTGAGAAATTTGTACTTATGACCCCTCTCTCACATGGTTAGTTCCATTGCTGATATTATCAGTCAATTTGACCAAATTTAATTTTACTATATATCCTAAAATTGACTGGTAAAGGGCGGCGTATTTGTTCATGGTCCTTGTCATTTTTCAATTAAAAAAATGATCCAAAATTGGCAATGCAAGTTAAAAGAGGAAGGAAAAAAAAAATTGAAAAAGACTAATAGCAGGAAGAAAAATAACCAACCCTATTTTTTTTTTATAAAAAAAATTATTTCCTATTTAGTTTAGAGTTTTTAAAAATAATTTTCCGAAATAATTTTCCGTTTGGTTTGCCTTTGAAATCATGATTTCAAAGGTAAACTTTTCAAATTATTTTTCAAAATTCATAATCAAATACACAACTTAAAATTTCTTAAAATTCAAACAAAAAATAATTTCAAAACTCATAACCAAACACACAACTCAAAATTCAAAACTTAAAACTCTTTTGATGATATAGTGTTGAAGAGGATTCGTGATGGGATTGTTAAATTTTTGATATAAAAAATTTTAAAAAATTAATTTCTATATTTAAAAAATATCTAAAAAAATATATATTTTTTCTTTCAAATAATAGGTTGCAATCGCCAAAAAAAATAAAAATTGCATTGTTTCGATCAATCAGCTGGATGTTCAGGAGGATATCTGGGCGGACGACTGCGTAAACCCCTATTTTCAAAATTTAAAATTCAAATTTTTTTTCAAAACTCATAACCAAACAAATTTTCAATTACTCAAAACTCAATTCACAATTTCACACTTAAATTATAACTCCAAAAATAGAATTGCAATTCCAAAACTAACCCAAATGCAGCCTTTATTTTTATTTTTTGCCTTTTAGATCCAATTAATCTTGATGTATTTAAAAAGTATAAAATTAATATAATTTTTTTTAAAAAAAATCATTTAATACAATAAAATATGAAAGTGTATTGAATTTTTAATTTTTTATAATATTTTTGTATTAATGATTTTTTTTTTTAAAATTCACAAATATTATACTCTTTAAATGTATTTAAATTAAGTGTATCTAAAAAATAAAAATTTATATAAAGGGTAAATTACAAATTAGTAAGAGCGGCTAGCTTTGGATAGAAGAATGATGGATAATCTTAGTTCATCTCAAGGACAACTATGATCTGAGTGGACCAAAAAAAAGAGTAGCAGTCAAGATATTTGGACAAACAACTTGATCCTATTGTTGAAAATCCACTCGACCCCATTCTTTTAAAAAACATGCAGTATAAAACAAAATTGACTCCTCTTCTAGATGTAGTAGAAGAAAACCATCCCCTCAACTATTCCCTATTGTACAACTAAGAGTAATTGAATGATTTTTTAATTTCAAAATGTTTAGTAGGGCTGAGTTTTATTCCCCCATTTTCTCTCTCTCTCTCTCTCTCTCTCTCTTTCACATAAAAGGATACACCCTGATCTGATGCGGTCAAGTTCTCCATTGAATATAATCAGTTTTCGGGCAGTGGTTGCAACAGCTTCATTGTAGAGCTCTTCTACCACAAGCATCTCTGGATAGCAAAAGAGAATTGACAAGAAGTTTAGTATGAGACTATTTCAAAAGGAAGACAGGGAGTCAGAGGCTACCGTTGACATTAAAATATGGATAGGCGACAAGGAACAGTTCATCTTCCGCCTTCACACGGTTAGCCATTTTAACTTTTGAGACAAAACCAAAATCCTCAAATAATGAAGGTTTTGTGAGATAGTCCAACTTAAATGAAGCTCCTCCAAAAATTGATTCTCTAGCAAATTTGACTTCACTGGCCTCCGGAAAAAACTGAAAATTTTCATACAAATTTTAAATATAAGGTCATTTAGTAGAATGAAAGAAATCTAATGAGCCCAAAAACTCATGGAGCCAGAGTAACATGGAATCTTGTTAAAGCCCTGGTTGCTTGTTACATGACTGCTAGTCAAAAAAAGTACTAACCCTAATAAATTAACAAAGTAGGTACATTGCAATCACATTAGTTAAATTTTTCTACGATGAACTGTTTGTTTATTTATCAAAAAAAAAATAAATAAATAAATTTCTACGATGAACTACAGAAACTATACCAAACAATAGACATACTATTCTGGTCCGTGTAACTTTTTCTGGACTGATGAAGAGGTCACAAAACTCACGAATTAATTGCATACTTCCAGTCATTTCTATACCACCTTCACCATCACCTGACACAAACATTGTATTGAAGCAAGTTAAGGGAACATCAGACAGGACTATAAGAAGCAAGAAATAATAAAAAAAGAAAAAGAAAAAGAAAAAAGAAAAGGACAAAAAGGAAAAAGAAAAAGGGAAAAAAAAAATACAACAGTAACCAGAGAGAACCTGGTACAGATTCGAGTCCAGCAGTTGGAAATTCAATCTCCTGTGACATACACTTATTGATCAGAAAATTGTGGAAATTCTAGATTTGATGTATAATTTTATCTTCAACATTCGAAAATAAAAGTGTAGAAGTGAAAAAGAAAGGAAAAAAAAAAAAAAAGGAGAGAGAGAGAGAGAGAGAGATGGGGTTGGGGTATGGGGAATAAACACTATACACCAACTTACCATCAATTTTTTGTTGTCCTTCAAAGCCAATTCAGTTGCTTCTTTCGCCTGTCAGTTGTTACAAATCCCAAAGTTATTAAATTTTAGCAAAGCAATTACTCCAAATGAAAATGAAGAAAGGTGAAAATACTCCAAAGAGATGAACATTGAAGGGGGAAAAAAAACATGTGAAACAAACAGTGAAAGTGTGAGGACAAGAGAGCGAGAGACCAACTTAGACTTTCCAAGAGTCTCCGATCAGGTCCATAATTTTTACCTTCGCTATGAAGAGTTACTAATTATGACAAGTTGATGAAATAAAAGGTCAACCATACAACTAAAATTGGTGCAGTTTGCAAATTGAAGTTACTAAATCCACCTAGGGTGTCCTTCCAATGTATCTTTCATATAATAAATTTAAACCTGGAGAATGGAGGATTAATTAGCCAGATGACCAAAAAACATAGAACTCAGAGCTATATTTTTTATGAACATGAATCCCCAGAAGTCTTGATTGAATACTTAGCATTCTCTTAAAGCTAAGTGCTCTGTAGGTCTAAAAGTGCATTTAGAACAAACAAGCATTCGACGCAATTTGGTCCAAGTTACATAGATGCATTCAGAAGTGGGCAAGGTTCACGTATCCGGGACTATTTTTGTAAAGAAGTTAGTCAAATATTGTAGGCTTCACTGAAACTTGGATATAGTTTGACAAGTGAAATGGCAAAATTGCAAATTAGAACAAAGGTTGTCGATATAAGAAATCAACAAGAAGTGGGTAGGATATATAACAGATGCAATTTCTGAACTACGATAGATAGTAAAGATAAGGTAGAAGTCTGATAGAAATGAAGCATACTAAATCTCATGTGAACTGCTATACAAAATACAGCTTCTCAACTTTAAGAGGGATTGAGAGAGTTATAGCAACAGAGCACTTTGCAGTGCCAAACCTCAATCTCTGAGCGGAACACTCGTAATGGCTAATCACACATATACAATCAAGACTACTAGACGAGAGAGTGAGATAATAAAGCCGATCCACCTTTCATGAGAGCTTTTGGACAATCGAGTTGCTAACCATATTGATTTACCCTTCTTTATGAAGAAAAGGCAGATAAATCAATAAAGAATGCAACTTAAATTGATCACACTAATGATCCCTACATCATTAATTAGTTAAGATGTCACCGTTAAATAGTGTAAACAGGTGGATCATTTTATGGTTAAATTATACCCTATGTGCCAGAGAACTCTTAGATACACTCTTTAGGTAGTGTTTGGATCATGAATTTGGGTAGGGATTTGGAAAGGGAAAGGAAAAAAATGGGTAAAATGTTGCTATATTTCGTTCACATTTGACCAATGTTTTCCCTTTCTTTTTCTAAATTCCTACTTAAATCCATGATCCAAACACATTGTTAGTAACCGTAAAAAAGAAATTATTATGGCTCTTTAAGAGTAGAGTTAGATAACAATTCAAATAAATGTGTTCCTGTTTGCACTCATTTTTGCTAAAATTCCTTATCAATAGGTGTACAAATCAGTTTGTGATCAAAGGGTCACATGGTAGAGTGGAGATGATTACATGTGTGAAATCATGGAGGCAGTTATGGAGCACTTACAAGTTACAGCTAATTGCTGGCTTAGTGGGACAATTTGTAGGAAAATTGGTTTATGAAGGAAAGGTTTTCTCTGTCCATTTAGTGTTCAAAATGATGAGAAACATGTGGCAGTGTGGAGCAAAGTTAGTTTGACAGGAAACATAAAGAATTGTTAAAGTTTGAAGGCTTGGAAATGGTAGAGCAATTATCAGACTAAGTCATGGACTTAGTGGGTGGCTTGCAGAAAGGGGCATGTGTAGAATGAAGATTTTTCTCAGTCAATGGGAGGTTTAAAATGTTGAGGGACACGTGACAACATGGAGGGAAAGTAGTTTGATAGGGAAGGTCAAGGACTTGAGGAAGGTTGAAGGCTTTGGAGTGAGGAGGCAGTTGCAAGAGCAGTTGAGGCAAGGGCAATTACATGTCCAGAGTCATGCGATCATGGGCCAAAAAAAACGAGGAGGATGATATAAAAGCCAGCGATTTTGCAAGTAGAGGACATCATCAACAACACAAAGAACTAGTTTTAGACTTAGCTTTTAGACTTAGAAGTAGTTCTATAACTTAGGAGTGGTTTCTCTGTAATTCGTATCCTTCCTTGTAAACTTCTGTGAACTTTAGTAGTTTCATCTTGGAATTACTTTTTTTGTTTATTATTATTTATTTTGTAACTGTCAATTGTTCCACAGAAGTTCTCGCACTTTTGAGGCATTTGAATCAATTACACAGTTACCCGGTTACTTTGGTTTAATTGTTTGGTTTAAATTGTTATTTAATTCCAGTCGATTGGGAATAAGCATAATTTTTAATTTTTAATTTTTTACCAACAGTTCCCCTTTCAAAAATCACAAATTTCATAACACAAAAATTGTAATTAAGAAAGAAAACAAAAACAAAAAAAACTTACTTGTTCAAGAAGTTGAGAATAATCACTAGGAAAGGGATCAAATCCAACTGAAGTATCACTATTGCCAGAAATTGAATTGGTCACAAAATCAAGCTTTCTAGATATGTTGTATTCTGAGATTTTCCGACTATATAAGTTCAAACCCTTTTTAATCTTGAAGCTTCTACGCCTAAAACCCTACAAATCGTATCAATCAATCAATTATAAAAAAAAAAACAAAAACCCAACAATGTGGAAACAAGTTCAATTGAAATAATATTTTGTCAAAAACAAGATAAGCTAGTTCTAGTTCATTGCTGAGGAAACATGAGATCAGCTTTGTGGAATTTTGGTTTTCAAGAAATTAAGAGATTAGCTTCACTGAAACGAGTGTGATTGTTAGTCATTTCAAATTATTATTTTTGTTTCTTTTTTCTGAGGTTTTCTGGGCAACCAAATGGAGGAAAGAGACAATGCAGAGAGTGCAAATAAGAAAATTGTGAAACCTCTGGATAATATGGAAGAGAAGGAATCGCGATTGGAAGCTTCGTGGTGGTTGGGGCACTCGATAACGGCATTTTGAAACCACACCCGTCCTCGCCGAGTTAGAGAGAGAGAGAGAGAGAGGGCTATGGACTGGATATAAATCAATCGGCAATGCTTTTTTAATTAAAATAAGAGATGGAAAAAAAAAAAATATTTAGGGGTTGTTTGGAGTGTCTTAAATAAGTGTATTTTTTTTTTTTAGATTAAAAAATTGAGAAAAAAATAGGGATGTTTAGGTTAATTTTTTGACTATTTATTGGAAAATATGTATTAAAAAATTGTATAAAGAAAATATGTAGGAAAAGATTAGAAATGTGTGTTGGCAGCCGTACATATGAGGGGTTGAATTGATGGTAAGAAATTATTGGCTACTTTTCGGTCATTGCACTTAACGGTTTTGTTCGGCGGGTGGGGCTATCACAGGTCCCATTTTGATAATCTTAACCGTTCAATGTGTCGAACTCGTTGAGTACTACATGCCTATAAAAAATCACGTTGATCGGATATTGATAGTTATCTGATCAAATTTGTTTTTTTTTCAATCGTTAATTATAACACAATCCATTTTTTTTATACAAAACTGAATTGATCATGTAGTTGTTTATATCCGATCAAGGTGATTTTTTACAATCATATAGTACTCGACGAGTTCTACATATTGAACGTTTCAGATTATCAAAATGGAACCCGTGATGGGCCTCTACGGGCCGAATAGCAGTGTCTGGAAATTGCACCAAAACTGTGCTAAAAAAATCAACAAACGTTGCACAGCGCAGTCTTAACATGACTGCTGAGTTGTGATAATTATGTGAAAAATTAATTTTTTAATATTTTTTTTGATGAATAGTGATAATTTTTTGAGTAATTTTTTGATTTTTTGACTTTTTAGAGAGATGCCAAACTTGAGCTAAAAAAAAATTTCTTAGTTTTTTACAATAAAAAAAATTTTAGTCATTACTTTCAAAAAAACATACAAAAGTTAATATGTTTGACGATATTATATATAATATTTAATTATTATAAATATATATTTTAAAAGAAATTGAATTCTTAATATTCAAACGAGGTGCAAAGGATTTTGATTAATGAAGAGAGTTACATTTATGTTTTTCAATTTCTTAATATATAACCGTCTTCTTATACATTTAGGCCATATTTTGTCTGCGAATAAAGGAGCAGAATATGCTTATTTTGTTTTAGGATGAAATTATTTCGCATTTAGCTTGCATTTTGTAATTTGAGATAATTTATTTTGTTTTTTTTTTCTTTTTTCTTTTTTTACGCAAGATAATTTTATTGTAGGAGAGGTGGGATGACTTATCGTGAGATAAACAACTTCATTACAAAATGAAGAAATTATCTTTCCTCATTTCATACCTTATCCCCTCCTCAAACCAAACATAGTTTGGGAAATACTTAAATCATATTTCTATAAAAACCTTATAAACAACAACCATTTGATGCTAACTTAAAATTAATTGGAATATTTCTTACCCACTTGTGGGGATATATTTTCTGAATACCAACACGTGGCATGGTGACGCCGACGTGTCAGCCGAGGTGCCACGTGCCCTGGTAGTTAAGCCGAGGTAATCTCGGAGAAGCCGAGGTCATCTCCGAAGATATCGGAATCCGAGATAAGGAGCAAGAGTCCTAAGGCAAAAAGGGGACTTAACCAAGATAAGGATAAAGCTCTTAGGGAGTTTTATCTTTATCTCTTAAAGAGTCCAGAGTAAACAGTAAGTTAGAGTTCATAGAAGTCATACTTCTAGTGGGACTTGGATTGAGTATATTATAAAAGAGAGGCACCCCCGTGGGTCTAAGGTATGCAATTTATGTTTTGAGTATTTAGTTTAGTACTTGATTATCTTTGAGAGATATACTGACTTGATCGTCGGAGTGCCCCCGGGTGGAAGAACCACCGCCGGAGCTTTTTCTTTCTGTTTTAGGTTGCCTAAGCCATCTATTCTGCCTGTACTCTCCAGCTAATCACTAAACAGGCAGTGTGGTCAGATTTTCACCCACACAGTACCTATTGGAGTTGTGCATTTAACATTTTGAATTTATCATAATAACTATTATATATTGATAAATACATTTACATGTATCAACAAAAGAATGAAGAAGATGGGAGGTATAAATAATTATTTGGGTGGTTAGCTGTAATTTGCATCCATTAATAGACTTACATTGTAATGACGTCTTCCACTCATATTAATATAATTGATTATTTCATTGTTCATAAATGAATTATTTATTTATTTATTTTTTTCTCTTGTTGGGATCTACACTAACTTAGTTTTAAAGAAGAGGAAAAGGGGACCACTCCCAATTAGGGATGACCATCGACAGGGTAACTAGTCCAACCCAATTCAATAGTTTTAGGTTTTGAAAAATCATTTTATCCATAGAGTCATGCTGAATTAAGATTTTGTATTTATTTAATATTTAAACTGCGTTTGGGATAAACAATTTTAACCCAACTCGTACATTTATAAAAAATTAATTATAATTTTATATTATTTTAATTATAAAATAAAGCAATAAAATTATAAAAGACAAAGAAGTATGATAAATAATCCCCGAGGTCCCTCAGCATACCAGGGGCGGAAGGCATTCTCACCGGCCTTCCAGGGAAGTCGGACGAGAAGAGTCGAGGCAAGAGGAGTCCCGAAGGACGCACCACATGAAGAATCTAGAGCCCAAAGAACATCGGCATGTTCAAAGGCAAGCACTCTGCTTTGACACAACCCATGGAGAAAGATCCAAACGAGCCCACCACGAGGCCGAAAGCAGCGTACCAAAAAGACTAAAATCTAGAGACAGCCGAGCTCCAGGGAGGAGCAAAGAAGACTTAAGGGACTACCTCAAGAGGAGGCAGCAGAATGCAGAAGCCGAGGTAAACTCCCCAGTAAAACCGAAGACAGCCTTCTCGGTGGAATTGGACAAATTCGAACTGCCCAAGAGATTCAGTATGCCGAGGTTTCAAATCTATGATGGTAAGTCAGATCCAAACTTTCATGTTGGGCTATACCTAAATTCAATGGCATTATATAGCGGGAACGAGCCGTTGCTCTGGAAAGTATTCCCCTCATCCTTTGGGGAAATTGCATCTGATTGGTTCAATAAGTTACCAAAAGGAAGCATAAAGACATGGGAAGGCTTGGTCGAGATGTTTGTGGCTAGGTTCGTGACCAACAAGCTGCAACCCCTAAAGGCCTGGCCGAGATGTTTGTGGCTAGGTTCGTGACCAACAAGCTGTAACCCCTAAGGGTTGATGCTTTGATGGCTCTAAGAATCACCAAGGAAGAAGGCCTTAGGGCCTATGCGAAGAGGTACTACGAGGTGTTCAACCGAATACCCGAATGCAACTAGGAAGTAGCAGTCGTGTCTTTCAAGAACGGCCTGAAAGATGACTGCCCACTACGGAAGTCTTTGGCAAAAACATTGCCAAAAAGCATGGAAGAACTCATGGCAAGAATTGAGAAATACGCCAAGGCCGAAGAAGATACATCGGGAAACAAAGAGGTGAAACAAGAAAAGGGAAACGGCTTGCCAAAGCGAGGCCGAGTCAACAATGGGCCGGCCAAACAAGAAATAGAGTTGAGAAACAAACAGGCAGTAACAACGGTATTCCGGATCCCAATCCATAAAATCTTAGATCGGATTCGAAATCAACCATATTTCAGGGCACCGGCAAGAGCACCGGGGGAATTCATGGGAAGGAACGTTGGTAGACGTTGTGCCTACCACAATGAAGAAGGGCATCCAACTCAAGGTTGCAGAGCCTTAAAAGCACACTTGGAAGACCTGGTAAGACAAGGCCTTCTGAGGGACCTGGTCGATGAGGCCAGAACAAGGGAAGAGCAGGCAAGGCTGCCCCAAGCACCAGCAGCACCCCCTCCCCCAGCACAGCCACCACAAGCAGGAGAACCGAGGGTGGTCAATGTCAGAGTTGAGAAGTAAACAGGCGGTAACGATGGTATTCTGGATCCCAATCCATAAAGTCTTAGATCAGATTCGAAATCAACCTTATTTCAGGGCTCCGGCAAGAGCACCTGGGGAATTCATGGGAAGGAACGTTGGTAGACGTTGTGCCTACCACAATGAAGAAGGGCACCCAACTCAAGGTTGCAGAGCCTTGAAGGCACACTTGGAGGACCTGGTAGGACAAGGCCTTCTGAGGGACCTGGTCGATGAGGCCAGGACAAGGGAAGAACAGGCAAGGTTGCCTCAAGCACCAGCAGCACCGCCTCCCCCAGCACAACTACCACCAGCAGGAGGACCGAGAGTAGTTAATGTGATCCACTCTAGGGTCAACGAAAACGAAGTCAGAGGAGAGACCCAGAGGGTAAGACATTTACAGCATATCCACCAAGTCGGGGAGAAGAGACATCGGCCAGAAGAATGCCAAGGGCCGATGATAGCCTTTACTGAAGCTGACCTGGAATTGGTCCAACATCCACATAATGATGCCTTGGTAGTATCCCTCCAGGTTGGGGAGTCCCAAGTAAAACGCATCCTAATAGATCAAGGCAGCTCCTGTGACATCATGTATGTCAGATGTTACAAGGAGCTAGGCCTTCACCCTGATGACTTAGAACAATCCAGCGGCCCGATGGTCGGCTTTAATGGAACGCCGACATGGCCACTGGGTGCAACAAGCTTGGAGGTACAAGCCGGCACTAAGAAGATCCAGACGGAATTCCTGGTAATTGACACGCCCTCACCATACAACATCATCTTGGGAAGGCCGTGGTTGCATGCAATGGGGGCAGTTCCCTCAACGTTGCATCAACTACTACGGTTCCCAACAGAGCATGGGATTGAAGAAGTCAGAGGGGATCAACTACAAGCAAAAAATTGCTCCATGACAGCAATGAAATCCACCTGTAGTATACGGGAGCCAAGGAACGCAGAAGTTGAAGATGAGGACATGGAGGTCCTAGAAGACGTCGGGAAGGAACCAGCCGAAAAGAGCGAAGAGGCGCTAAAAAAAGTTTTCGTCCAAGAGCACGACGAAGAGCGTTTCTTTCTTCTCGGCTCAGGCTTAGCTAGAGAAGAAGAGAAAGAACTGGAAGATTTCTTAAGGGCAAACATAGAGGTGTTCGCCTG